CCTGTGTGGGTGTCGGTGGGTGCTGGGTGTGTGGCGGCTCCCCCAGAGCGCGCTTCTTCTGCGCGCGCGCCTGCCTTTCGCCTGCATGCCGGCCTGCTGCCGCTCCCCCGCACCCCCCTCCCACACCCCGCTCTCCGACACGACACAACACAACATACACGCTGACACGCACGCCGTCCCCTGCTCCCCCTCCCCTCCCCCCGAGAGCAGGCGCCCGAGGTCATCTCGGGGCGCGGCCACGGCAAGGCCGTTGACTGGTGGAGCGTGGGCATCCTGCTGTTTGAGATGCTCAACGGCATGCCGCCCTTCCGCGCCAAGGGCCGCCAGCAGCTGCAGAAGCTGATCACCACCGCCAAGTTCAAGCTGCCCTGTGAGTGCGCGGGGTGGAGGCGGTGGGGGGTGGAGGCGGGGAGCGCGGGTGGCGCTGGGGAAAGCGGCGGCCGTCTGGGGCGCGCCGGTCGCCTGGGTGGCGTCTGCCGGGGCCCTCCCTCTCCCTCTCCACACGCCGCACACTCCCACCCACAACCACGCTTCCGCGCACATACCGCCGCCACGCCGCCGCCGCCCCTTCCCCCGCCGCAGCCTACCTGAGCAGCGAGGTGCAGAGCCTGGTGAAGGGCCTGCTGCAGAAGGATGCCAGCAAGCGGCTGGGGTACGGCCCTAGCGGGTCGGCAGACGTCATGGGGCACCCCTTCTTCAAGTCTGTGGACTGGAGGAAGCTGGAGGGGAGGCAGGTGGGCGCGCCCGGCTGGCTGGCTGGCTGGGTGCGGGATGAGCTGCGGAGCGCGCAGGGTGTGTTTGTGGAAGGCCGGGAGAGCGGCAGGCAGGGGGAGCGCCGCGCGCCGCCCCTGCCCCGCCCTGCCGCCTCCTCGCCCCGACCATGTGCCCTGCCCTCTGCTTCCTCGAGTCCCCTCCCGCTGCCTGTGCCATGTAAACCATGCAGATCGTCTCCCCCTTCAAGCCATCCATCAAATCCATCGAGTCTGTAGAAAACTTCGACCGAATTTGGACAGACCTCCCGCCGCACGTGAGCGGCGGGCGCCCTGCCGTGGCTGCTTCCTGCATTTCAGCCGCCAATAATCTAAATAGCTGGCTCCTAAGGCCGAG